TTTTTACTAAAGTAATTGAGTTTAGTAGTCAACTTATGGATTAGTAGAATGTGTAGAGTACCCATTTACCATGGTGCGTCGTAGAAGTCAAGTATATATATCTTTAGATTACTATTAATATGTAATTTCAACTGTTACGTATAAAAAAATTGACCGACTTCAAAGAGAGTTAAAAATTTCTCCCAAGTGATATAGTCAAATAGAATTCTGTCATTTAAATTAGTTTGCTCCATTTTCTAGTTGACTGCCAAATGGTCCAAGTTCCCAAGGTTGATGCTATGAGTTGTTGTAAAGCAGTCTAAATTCATCAAAAAATACAAGAGGAAAATCACGGTCAAGAATAATTTGTAATACAAAGAAGAAAACGTCTCTTTGCCAAGTAATTTATTATGGCCAATTTATTTGAAAATCTATTTGTATATTATCGTAGACTGGACCCTCTAAGAATCAAACCCAATAGCAATTATCGCAGTGTTACTACAACTAGGCCGAACTATTTACAAGTGTTTATGACACGGTCTGCTCTATTTGATTTATTGCATGTTGCAATATAGTGTTTTATCTTAAATATAGTAAATTTAGAAATACTACTCTCCGTTGAACTTTTTTGTATAGTTTTAAGTTGATTAATGTTATTATTTTTATATTCTTTGCTTCAATTTGATTATTGACTTCAAATTCATCCACCTACTTGCTGGTTGGTGGGGTTAAGCTGAACTAACTCAAGAACCATTAGTTGGCCACCAATTTTCATTTTTTTTTCTTTTTCAAGAAAAAATATAATGACAATTAATTGTTTTTTCGCAACGTAAGATAGTAACGGTGTAGTCAGAACATTTAAATTTTGTAACGAGTGTTTGATAAAATCAATTTGAAGTTCTAAATGGACTCAAATAAACATCCTTTTATTTTACGGTTGAAGATGCAAAAAGAGACGACGATACCAGAAAATAAGAAATAAGCACTTACCCTACGAAGCTAAAGAAACAAAGATTGTTCATCGTCGCTAAACGGGATGCTTTGAGAAGGTAGTCGTTGAACAACAGGCATAGGCAACTCCCAAGTAACATCCGTGGTGCTGTCTTCATATGGTTCTCGAGGCATTGCAGTGTGTTGAAGCCGTAAAGCATATTCTAAGTCCCACAACACGTCGACCATATTAGGCCTATCGACCCCACATTCTTGCAAACACCTCTCAATTGTATCCCCAAATTTCCTTATCGAGTTAGGATTAATTTTCCCCACAAGCAAAGGATCCACGATTTTCTCCAATTGTCCCTGCTTTTGCCTGGAAATCCCCCATTCAGCTAAGCTGATTTGCTCTTGTGGGAGCAAGTTGTTGATGACAGGTCTTGCACAAAGCACTTCAAGAAGTACCGCCCCAAAAGAGTAAACGTCGGATTTTTGTGTAAGTTCAAAGCATCTGCAGTACTCGGGATCAAGATATCCAAAGCTGCCTTTGACATCAGTAATTACATGAGTTTGATCAAGAGGACCTGATCGTGAAAGGCCAAAATTAGCAACTTTAGCCACATACTGTTCATCGAGCAAGATGTTTGTCGATTTGATATCCCTATGGATGATTGCCCCATTAGAACCAGTGTGAAGGTAGTGTATATCTTTTGCTGCACCAATGCAAATTTCAAGCCTTTGACTCCAAGATAATTGAGAAAGCGAAGTGGATTTCCCCGAGTTGCCCATCAAAATGTATAGAAGATCTCTTAAAGCACATTTCTCCATAAACTCGTAAACAAGTATCATTTCAAACCTTTCTTGACAATATCCAATCAACGAAACAAGATGCCGGTGACGAATTTTGGATAAAATCATTATTTCAGTTTGAAACTCGGGAAGACCCTGTCCACTTCCTGGCTCACTCCTTTTTATAGCCACTTTTTCTACCGTCCCGAAGTAATCCCTTGTAGACTTTACCAAAACCCCCCTCGCCAATCATCAATTTGGAGTCGAAATTTTTTGTGTCATAGACAATCTCAGATAAGGACACCTTCAAACCGAGGTTTAAATCATCAAGATGGGATCCATTAACAGTTCTATCAGTTGTAGTACTATGTGAATTCCCCCCATAGAGATATGGCAATGGCAAATCAAAACTCTCAGCAGACTTCCTTTTTTTTCCGTTTCAAAACAATAAATAACACGCCTAAAAAGATGAAAATTATCACTGTACCTCCGATACATGAACCAATGATTGTAAACG